CGCATTCGAGCAGCCTGGCGGTTTTAGCTCGACCTTTAATCATTTGAATCTGATACCCACATGTACAGCATTGCATAACTTTTTACCAGTCTTTGGCGCTCCTCCACGTCCCAGTCGAATGACCGCGACAAAGCCAGGCCTGCTACGGCACAGTCCGTGATCGACTCCGTAAGTCCACCCAGTAGGAGGAAGTATACAGACCGTAATAAGTAGCAACGTGCCTTGGACAAATGATCGTTAGGGTCCAGATTGGACTTGACCGTCTCCTGTTCGTAAAGACCAGGAATGCTCTGTATCGGCCACAGCGCTGCGCCATTCGACTGGTGCAGACGTAGATGCCACAGCAGTTTGCCGATACCGTAAATGCTTGTAAGCTCCAGACTAATGCCTTTGCCGGCCGCGTGGGCCGCCATCATAGCCTGTAGCTTTTCATGTGATATGATTTGATTCTTGGGGAGAACAAACTGGCTGTACATGGTAGCCAGGCAGGAGTAATTGTACCGGCTCTCCGCTGTCGTCCAAGAGCCAAAACAACCGTTATCAAATGAGAGGTAAGAATCCCGCGTTAGAACTGGACTAGTACCAGGCAGTGTACCCCCCGTCCCCGCATTGCTGCTGTCGAAGGCCTGAGACATGTGGTCTTGCCGTCCGCCATCGGACTGGATGGCCGATGGTGACGGGTACCGTTCGGCCTCCCGAGAAGCTGTCGAATGCTGCACGACCCTGACAGGGAGGTTTGCATCGTCGGCGGGGGCGGTCGGGGTGACAAGGGCTGGACTCGGCAGACCGACCGCCACGATGATCTCATCTAGCGCGGGACTGGAGTCGTTCGCGTTCTTGATGTCACAGATGGTGTCTTCATTCCTGCAGCCGTCGCAAGGGTCACCACCCAGGCATTTTGTTCCAAGAGTCTGGCATCGAATGCTGGATAAAGTCAGTCCATAGCCTACGCAGTGCGATCCTGACTCACCAAGTCCAAGCACGACCCAGATCGTTTGATGTTTCTCTGCTGCGTCTTGCAGTCTGCAAAGGTTCTGGGGCGCTCTGTGTTTCCTTGACGTCGTCGCAATCGGAACCTTGCGTGTTGTGTGACCTGTCAGCTTCGATGGCCAATTCCCCATGATAGACACTTAAAGCCGGCTAGCTTACAGGGACGAACGCCTCTGCTGCAATTCTCGCATGGATAGCCGCCCCAGCATTTTACCTTGCGTTTCACGCAGAGGGCACTGAGCGTTGTTACTTCGAAATTCAGCCAGTGAGCGCCGCACTCACCATGCCTTCCGCTGGGGCTTTTTTCGGTAACCTCGGCGTATCTGGCCGTTCCGGACGTTCTTCATCGTCGATGGTGCGAGATGCGTTCGTGACAAGGGCCCAAGTCAATCTTTTCTGTCTGGCATCTATGATTGACGACGGACAGACTTGTAACGAACGGTGAGGTCGGTAGCTCTGCAAGGCACAATGTTCTGGCAAGCCAGAGCCATATAGGCACATGGCTTAAGTATTGTGGCCACGAACGGTTCTCCATCGAAAGAAAATAATTTCCCGCATAATTTCCCAAATGACTCGTCAACTACTTTAAACTGCGGCAGCAAATCTCGCGTCGATGCCTAGATCAGGCAGGGCGTAATATTCGATGCTCTAAGGGCCCAGCCTGCGCTATGGTAACCAACAAGCGACAGGCATACGTAAGCAAACGCTCGGGCTTGAGTTTGCTTCCATCCTTCCGCCTTATCGCTGCACCTCTCCCTCGCTGGTCTGAGACTGTTGTGACCGAGCAGTCTGTGGTACAAGACTGTCAAGAGAAGTTTCGGCCTCAACTGTTGCCCGTGACTTTCGAACTGAGAACATTTTCAGTACCCTTCGTGCCATAATATAAGCCATGAGGCATAACCATAAGATACTCTGCAATCCAAACTGAAATTCGGGCCAGCCATGGATACTACCGATAAGCAACGCAAGCGAGCATGTGCAGACTAGACCGGCTAGGATGATCAACGGGAGTAGAACCTTATCCCGTCGGGGGCCCGTCATGCTTTCTTGAGGCTTACGCCACAAGTACATCGAAAGGCAAAGAAAGACAGCGTGTGACAGCAGCGGCGCCGCCCACAGTGCCTCCGTCTCATCTTTGACCAGCCACCAACACGCGAATGCCACAAAAAGAAGCAATGCAAGAGTCCAGATGCAGTAAAGACCTTTTGCTACCCGCCGATGATGTGATATCATCGGAGGCGCAAACGAGGAGAACTGAATCATTAGGCCTGGCACATGGCACTCGGGGCAAGATCGTACCTCGACAATGGCCATAGCCATTGCAACTCCTCCTTTGCATCCGGCTAAGGTGGCAAATTTTGCGTTGTGGGTTAGGCCAAAAAACAAAACAATCAGAACGGCGACGCTAAGTAGAAGAGAGGCCACTCCTATCCAAGCGAGACGCCACTGGCATGGGCTGTGCTCGAGTTTGAAGACAAAACAATAGGCCAGCAAAAAGCAAATGACGACTGGCGCAGTGACGCTTGCTTCAATGATTTGTGGCTGTGTTATGACTCGCTGCATCGTAACAGGCGGTGAAGGTCGTGCGCTCAGATACAGGTTGGGGCGTAGAATCATGCATCCTGCGCGTTTATGACAGGGCCGCATTGCATCCTAAATATGTGCCCGAGCTTGGCAGCCTTGAGGGCCCGAGGAAGGGCGCGGACGGCAAGTCTCAGCCCCGGGTTTTGCTACAGTGCTTCTAAGCGAGCAGTTGCATTGCCGGCAACGACTTACCCCCCGTCTAGATCAGACCGAAAAGTGCACGGGTCATAGTAACAACCAGGTTACACGCTATCGGCCGTTGCATGTGGCAGGAGAACGAGCCGTCGCCTCATCAGATTCGAAAAGTTGACGGCTGGGAGAGGGGGCGAGTGGGTTTGGCCCGAACACCAGCACCGAACACCAGCACCGAACACCAGCACCGAACACCAGCACCGATGGACCATGGGTGCGGCCTCCGACAAAGGACAAGAACTGGCTAACAATCTAGTAAAGAACAGGGTTCGTCCAGGGGTAAATGAATTGCAATTGTTTCTTGAATCTATTGAGCGCACCCGGCGACTGCAACGCCCATGTTTTCATGTCCCTCCATGCTTCACACAGGTCCAACTGGCTTCCATGGGGTCCCTTACCCATTCTCTGGCAGGGTGGAAGCTGTCGTCTCTCTTCATGATCAATGTCCCTGCCGAGCCATTCAAGGTAGCAATTTCGAGGCGCAAATCTGCTGAGGTGAGCCGGGGGCCATCGTCAACAACTTGCAAGTCGTACCTTTACCATTTACGCACTCGCGTGTCGTATCGATGAATGAGGCCAAGCTTGGAGTAGCCGTGCCGTTTACGTGCGTGATAAAATAGCCAGCCTGTAGGCCACACTGTTCTGCCGGAGACGCAGCACGACAGTCCGAAACGTACACGTTGCTGTAAAGACACGAGGTCTGCAGACGAACCGCTATGTGGGGTCGCTGAAGGACTGCACCGCAAAAGAGGAAGACATGGTCCGTCTCCGCGTGATTTCCATCCTCCGGACGAACTTCCAGCCGCATGATCTTCCTTTGCCGAATGATGAGGGCATCGAGTGCGCTAGAATTCGTGACATCGAAGTCCGAAACGGCCCTGCAGATTCTTCCGTTCAAACTGAGAAAAATGTCGCCTTGTAGTAGGGCTGGGGCCGTGGCGGTCCGGCACGTGGCCATGGGCCGCGCCACCTTGAATGCCGCGTGTCGGGGTGCTTTCTTGCTTGTGAACTTAGTGATCCATTCTTGCGGGACACCCCATTTCCTTGCTTCGGCCATGGTCATGGTTTCGAGCTCCGCTGGGAAGAGCCACACCTGCGGCGGCTCACCAATGCATATACTTCGTGCTATGCGAAATATCGTTGCCGTGGCCATGCCCCAGCAGGAGCAAATGATTTCAGTGTGGCATTTTCGGAGGTGAAGCAGACATAAAGCCATGACGGTACCAAACTCGTCAGTAATGATGCCACTGGTGTGTGAGGCCATAGTGTATTCGACGATTGCTTCGGTATTCACCGGCCGGTATTGCGGCAGAGACGTGTCTGTGCGAACTGCGTCCTGCAGTCCAACTCTGTCGACCCATTTACGGTAAGTACTGAGCTGGTCGCCTTTGAAAACCCAGAAATTCATATCCTGGCCCTCGTGCAACAGTTCGGTCCCAAGAGTGGCACTGTGGACTGGCGCATCGACTAGAGACGCATCGTACTTGACGATGGCGTAGTCGTAAAACGGGTGTAAGAAGACGACTTTGCCGTCCGTCTCAATTGAGTCGGCAACAGTAACCCTAACGAGGCAGAGGCCGTGTGGAACGGCAGCTCGTGAAACGATGACAAGGCCTGACTTGGCATCGATCACTAACCCCATGGCTCCAACTTGAGCAACTTGGCAAGAGTCAACGGCAAACCCCGGCGTGCTGGGCGTCACGCGCACGAGGCTTCTGTATATGCGCCTCTCCGTGGGGCCCGTGTTATACTCAGCTTCAGCAGGCCATGCTGACTGTCGCAAGGGAGGCTTGGGAGGCGGAGGTGCTTCAAGCGCGGTTCGATCCCATGTACCCTTCTCTCGATTCTGGACCCACAGGTTCATATCAGGAATCCAGAACCTGTCGATCTTCACGAGTGACGTCTTGACCTCGGGTGAATTGCTCAGTTTGATGAAAGTAACTGCGATAGTTGTTCCATGGGGAAGTCTCTTCATCTGGGTGACAAACTGCTCCAGATTGGACACTTTCCTGTGATCGATCGCGACAATGACGTAACAGTCGGAGCTATTGCCGAAGCCGAGAAAGACCAACGGATCGCACACAAAAACACCTCTGGCTACGCCATACCTGATGGCAGTCGTCCAAGAGACATTGTGGAAGTTGGAGCCACAGACCGACACGAATCGATCAGGTATCAGACGGTAAAGGTCGCCCACTCGGATCGTGACTTCGCAGTCGCTCCCTTGCCTCTGGAGCAACAATATGATGGTGTTGCCGACGTTCGTGTCCAATTTTCGGTCAAGGTCGATAAAGTCCATCACGGGTTCGTCGTTGATCTTGATCAGCACGTCACCCAGCACAATGTTGCCGCTTGACTCTCCATCGGGTAACACAGTTTCAGCAACAAGCATGCTGGTGGCTTCCGGCGCTGAATTGCGTCGTTCAGTTTCCCGCGTATCGCTCAGTCCATGCTTGCTGCGACAGATGTGGAATGGCTTGGGCGTGAAGCGGCACCGGATATCCCCGCGGGTAACAGGTTTGCTTTCCTGAATGCAACATAAAGCGCGCAACGCCCTGTCGAGAAGCAAGCAGAGGTTTATCCCGCCGGAGTAGCGTCCACAAAACAGGGCAACTACTGACCCATCTTTCAAGAAAACCGGACCCCCGGAGCTACCTGTACCAGCTCCCGCTTTGACCTGGCAGTAAGGAGAGTTATAACTGTCGTGAGGCGGATGGATATGTAGCCGACTGATTATGCCGCTGTGTATACTCAAGCCTAGAGCATTTTCATTGCCGACTATTTGAATCTCCTCGTGGGCTGCGAGTTTCATCCTGTCGTCAGCGAGATAACAAGAAGTGGCCTGCGGGGGTCGAAACTTCGCGCCAGGTCTGGCCGTAGTTGCAAGCCATCGACTTTGGCGAATTTGATGGTGTCTGGGTCGTAATGTAGGATGGCAAAGTCATGAATGGGATCTGAAAACACAATGCTGAGTTCAACGCTTTCACTACTTCCAAAGACGCAGCAAATCCGAGATGGGCCACCGCCGATGACATGAGCGCATGTCATGATATACCTACGATACCCATGATCATTAGCAGACATTGCTTGAGGCGCAAGAGTCTCACATACCCTAGATTCGCATCTACCACGAACCCGGTAGCTTGCCCCCTACCGGCGGGGTTTTCGCCAAATGAGCAGAGGTTAGTGCAGTCAAGCATGACAACATTGTGAAGAACTCGTCGGATTGTCGTTTGGCACGCCGCATCATCCGCCATCGATGATCCGGACCGCTCGGGCTGGTCGCAGACGGCTGTCATGGCAGCGGGATACTCGACGGCGGTCTTCGCGGATTGGTTGTCGACATGCGGTCAAAATTCCGGAGAGGCCAGTGCCATTTATAGCGGCAAGCTGGGCTTGGGAACACTGCTGCGAGCGATCTTGCCCTGCCCCACTGCGCAAGTCAGGTTCGGCAGACGTTGGTCCATGTGCCGTGAGCTTAGGCACTGACTTTGTTCGTCAGAATCATCTTTTCATCCCTGTCTGAGGCACTTGCCTGTATGCTACTGCGATGGTGCTGCCCCGCAACTCGCGCGCCATGATCATGTAGTTGCGAAGGTAGAGCGCTTTTATACGTACTATGGAACACCACCGCTACGTGGCACAGGACTGTCTAGCGACGTACCACCCTGCATTGCGCCCGATGATTTGCGAGGGAACAGCCTCTTCACCGGGTCCCGCACCGTACCATACATCATCATGGGAATCCAAAGCGCGCACTGTAGCGCAAAATCAACACTGGGCCAGCCGCGTATGTCACGCATACTGCAAACGAGTAATGCAAGCGACGACGCTGAAATGAAAGCCGCCAGCACCGCCAAAGAAACCAGACGAGTATCCCATCGTGTCGCGCCCTCGCCGACCGGCAGCGTGAACGAAAGATGCACCGCAAGGAAAAGAACAGCAGCGTGCGAAAGGAATGGCATCGCCCACAATGCCTCCACGCCCGATGTAACAAGTTGCCAACATGCCCAGCCCAAGAACGTTAGCGAAAGAGTGGTCCAAACACCGTTGAGTGCCAGACCTGCTCGAGGGTGATGTGAGATAAGCGGCAGTGCAAAGAAGAACTGCATCATCAGTCCCATTCCATAACACCTGGCGCGATGTCATACCTCGACGATGGTCATAGTTGTGATTATCCCGCCCTTGCACCCCCAGAAAGTGGCAAGCGCTGCGTCGCCAGTCAGACCAAAGAAAATGAAGGTCAAGGCAGCGAAGCTAAGGAAGAGCGACGCCACCCCTATCCAGGGAAGGTGCGACCGAAGTGGGTGGTGTTCATGGTTGCTGGAGAAGCAGTACACCAGCAAAAACGGGACAACAATTGACGCAGTAACGCTGGCCTCGATGATTTGCTCCTGTGATATGGTTTGCTGCATCTCGACAAGCGGTGAGGGTCGTGTGCTTAGATGGGCTTGACGCGCGAATGCATGTGTGCTGCGCAAGCCAGATGGGCTGCATTGCATCCTAAATACATGCATGAGCTCAACAGCCCCAAAATCGAGCGGGCAGGTTACCATCGCAGAGAGCAGGCCGAGGGTTGCGCCGAGCGGACGCGGTCGGAGGGTTCACCCCAAGCCCGTGTACCCAACCCCAAGAGGTAGGGGGGTGAGATTTTTTGCCCGGAAGGCCCTCCGGG